GAGATCTTGTTGTTGAACATATCCAGTATTTCTCTGGAACGAAGCGTCACGAAGCCTTCCATTAACAAGCATTTCGCCAGTAATGACACCCGTTGAAGTTCGGTCAGCCAAACAATCAAGCAAAGTCGTCTTTCCAGCGCCAGACACACCCATAAGGGCGGTAAGAGTGCCGGGTTTGACCCAACCATCGACGTGGTCGAGAATACGACGATTCTCGCTTTTGATCTTCACATCAAAGCACACGTTGCTTGAAAAAATTAAAATCTGCAATGCCTAATGATTTTTGGGAGAGGGCTAGCTGCATATAATGGACTTACCTCCAATGAAAAATGCTGGTCTGCTTCTGAATAAGCCCACCTTCCTTGTCAGAAGTGTTACCATGATCCACTTGCGTCGCAATTGCAGAAGGTCCAGATGAAGTTGGCATGCCAGCTTCCGCATCATCTCTTTGTTCCTTGAACTGGGCTGGCTTGTGCCCTCTGCGGAAAACAAGTACTTCGCCCTTGGACTTTTTGGCAGTGACAAGCTCGGTTAGAACTACGTAGAGGCCGTTGAAGAAACTGTTTCTGTCAGTGAATGCCCGGGCATGGGGCAACCAAGACGTACATGAGGAAGCCAATCAGAATTCCGATATTGCGCCACTTGTGGCTTGCTTCGTACCGGAAGCCAGAGGATATGTAGGACGTTCCGGAGACAAAATCGTTTCCTGGGGCGGAGCCGATAGCCGAGCACACGCGATTAGCGTTGCCAACATCTGCGTATCCAGGAATCGACGGGCTTGGAACATATGATGTGCACAGATAATCAACCCCATGGAACTATACATCGTTAGATTCTACCATGAAACCTTGTAGGGTAAGCTACTTATGGCGTACCTCATTAATCATAAGAGCTTCGAAGGCATATGCCACAGGGTCGACATAATTTAACCATCTGCACCAGCCCAACATGTAATCGATGGGAATGACGAATCCAGTAAACATGACGAGAGCTAAAATCAATATAGCTGCCGGGACCATAGCTTGCGATAGGGTTCGAGATGCGGAAGCAATGGATCGGAAGATGCCAGACATAGATAGGACGGTTAAATAGGACGTCATCAGATAGAAGAAGAACGCTCCTGGTTCACGTCGGAGGTTGGACATAAAGTCTGTACTCATGTCAATGGCTTCTCCGGGACGAGTGAAGTGAGAAAGGACAGATGGAGCCAGGATACTAAACACGATCTTGACTCTGTTTTGGAGAACAAGAGGCATACTTACAGAGGACGAGGTTGAACACGATGGAATTCAAGGTCTTATAGGGTATGTCTATCAACATAGACGCGAATGCCTCAGCAGAAGGGTGATAGAACGCGTACCGAGCATGCTTTTCGACGATTGATCGTTGCGCGTAGAGAGTCAAGATTTCCAAGGCCGAGCTGAAGGCGTTCATGAGCACACCAAAGAATAACAAAGCACTGCGTTGGTAAAAGCTGGATGTGGTGCGTTTCAAGTTGAAGAAGACGGAGGTGATGATTAATCCCATTATGGCATTAGCGATGAGCTGTCCGACGGTGATGGAAGGGTCTCCAATGAGGCGCCGATATGCGCGCCAGAGACACAACTTCACCTGCTGACCATATGATAATGTAAAAGGAGAATTGACCCGCTGTCTCTTGGCCTGCTGAGCTCGTTTGTGGTTACGGAAAGCCACAGCGTCAGGGCCATTGAGGGGGTGGGCAACCTTGTACTCCCCAATCTCCTCCTTGAGAGCTTTGTACGCAGTGCTATCCTTCCACGCCGTTGCAAACTCGTCTGGGGTTCTAGGTACCTTGTTCTCGAAGCCGTGTCGGACGATGCGTTCTTGAGGGCTGGTCATAGATGTTAAGAAATCAGGAGTCGTCTGGCGGTCAACACAGTCGAAGCCCAAATCGATGAAGTACTTCTTAGCAGCATCGGCGCGACCGAAAAAGATTTGCCGGCCTTCGTAAAGGACAAGAGCCTTATCGAAAAGGTCGTATGCGTTCTGGGGAGCTTGGTAGATTGACACGGCGCACGTATTTTGGAAAAGCTCCGTCTGAAGCCTGAGAGTCTTGCAGAACTCGACGGCGTTGGCACTGTCCAAACCTCGAGTTGAGTTGTCCCAGCACTGGAAAGGGGCCCCAGAAAGAGCGGCCTCCGAAATAGTGACTCGTTTTCTCTCCCCGCCAGACACGCCTCGAACGTACTCGTTTCCCACTCTGGTATTTCGCGTGTGGCTGATACCGAACATTGCCATCACAACATCTCTCAAGTGGTCTGAGAATATGTCGTGGGTCACATTCTCAGGCAGACTCCGTGGCGCTCGAGCGCGAGAGGCAAAAGTCAAGGTTTCACCGACAGTGAGCATGGGGAAGTGCACGTCGACTTCGGCAGTGTAAATAGCCTCACCGCGGTGCGCAGTATGGATCTCCTTCGCGGTCAATCCCTGGTAGTTGAAATAAGACTGGTCATCCAGGTAGAGACCGTTCGTCTCGCCTGCAAGAGTCTTGAGGAAGGTGCTGCACCCAGATCCAGGAGGGCCCAACACGACAAGCATTTCGCCCTTGTGGACAACCCCGTCAAAGTTGCGCAGGATGTCGATACGGCGCTGCCTCTGGCCCAGTGCCCGGCGCACCATACCCACACCTTCCAACCACACATTGGCAACGTCTTTCTGGTAGTCCGTTCCCGCGCCGTATCCATAGACGTGCAGGTTCTCGAAGCAGACGCCGCTGGTACGGAACGAAGCTCCATCCGCAGCCACTTGCTCGACAATTGCCTTTGCCCAAGTGCGGGCTCTGAACTTGGGGCTGTTGGGATTCAGAGGCGAGTCGGGGTGCAAGTCAGCGGCAAAAGGGCCGCCAGGAAAAGGGCCCGTAGCCGAAGCGTGGGACTGCGACGTATAGGTTCGCGCGAGGGCCTTTACCATGCCGTCCCTCTGCTCTTGCGCCGACTCGTCGCCGCCGTTCTCGCTGCTATCGACGTATCTCGCCTCCGTCTCCTTCTCCTGTTCAGTGGTGGGAATGGCTGTGGCAGCTGCTGAGATAGCATTGCCGTCGTGGGCGCCATGGGGAGACGCCGCGTCGGGACTCGAGACTAGAGCCTCGGCATGTGAACGCTCGACGGTAGAAGACCGACGCGCGAGACCAGCTGTTCTGGCAGTGGAATCGTTGTTGCCGAAGATAGTGCTACCGGTGAAGGACATTGCGATCGTGGCCTGGCCTGCCCTGGCGCAGCCGGATCGTGAAGGTTGAAATAAAGAAGTAGAGAAGACAGTAAAATGATAGATAGATAACCATGAAGAAGTTAAAGGCTCAAGAGAGCGAGGGCTTACTTTATGTCAACATGAGCCACAGGCAAACATCAACCTTAACGAGCAGCCAACGGTAGACGTAGACCCGAAGGCCGACCTGTTCATGTATTACCTCCGTAGCCTGGACAGGACAGACAGGGAATACGGACGAGGCCTGGTCGCCGAGACTGGCTGGGTGTCTCCATAGGATGGGAGCAGACGATAGACAGCAGATGAGATGAGCCGAGCCTCACTCACATCATTCAAGATTATCATTGCCTTGCTCAACATGCTCTGCCACTATCATGTTGACGATATAATATCTGGCTCCCGCGCAAAACCAAGCCTCCGTCCCCTAGTCGTAGTCGGCGGTCCAGTGAAACATAAACATAAACATCAACATAAATTGGGGTACGAGGGGAACGTTGGTGTTGGTTGGCACAGGCTCGCGCCGCCGGTCGCTACTATTTTCCGACGTGAAAAGCTCGGCCCGGAATCACGCAGGATCCGAGGAGCAGGACCTGCCCTGTCCCTAGTCCCCAGTCCCCAGTCCCCACCAGCGGCGGCTCGCTAGGGAGACGGGAGGAAACGTCAGTAAAGTACTAACGTATTAAGTGGGCCTACACGTTATGGTGGTGTGGTGGTGTGGAGGACTACTCTGGTGGTGTCTCTGGTGTGTGTCACGCAAAACATGGGGTAGGGGTTTGGGCTCCGCTGCCCCCGCATGGGGTTTAGGTTCTGTTGTAATCGCCCTCAGAAACTTGCGCGGGCACCTCGTTCTCCATGTAAGTAACTAATGCTGACTTGGACTGCTTCAGCTGATAAGTACTAGCGTTGAAATCCCGAAATTGAACCAGGCTTACAACGGATTTGTGATCAATAGCTCCAGCGAATCGTCCTTCTCATGTTCCGAGTTCGATAGAATCCATTTATCAGGTTTCATCCGACGCAATTATTCTTGCCTATGAGCTAAAGCGACCAACGAGACAGCGCCAGAAATCAACAATGCCACAAATCAGGCATCCCCATCTCAACCGGAGCCACAGCTGGGATCGGGTCAGGAGTCGGCGCAGTAGCAGTCACTATACTCGGCATTTTCCTCTGGTGGTTCTGTTTCAGGAAGAGAAAGTCGGCACGTATGGCGGAGGATACACCAATCGATAATACACCCGAATTGCCACAGGGGAAACATCATAAGAAGACGGAGGTTCCTGCTATTTCGAAGCCGAGAGAGCTACATGCGAAGTCGATTGGAGAGAACTTTTAGTATACTGTTCCGAGGAAGCCTGTTGCTCAGTCGGGAAGTCAGGATGAGGTGGTGGTAAGGAGTGAGGGGAAAAGGCATGAGTTGCAGTGATTATTGTATGGGCTCACGTGGGTGGAGGTAGTGGAGTGACGAAAGGCGGAGATAAGGAGAGTGGCATACCTTTTCAAGAAGGGAGAAGAATTGGTTTTCTCGACTTGAATTTGAAGGAGGAGTTCATTTGATCGAAGTATGGGAAATCTGGCACTGAGTGCAACTCGCTTGAGCTTGTTTATCAACCCCACCTCCGCTCGCTTGTATGCAGAGTGAAAAAATAAAGTGGGCATCTCCACCTCCAACTCCATGCACCAGTCAGTCCCTTTCAATGAGAAGGACAAGATTCTCGGACAGCGTGAAAGAGCTAAAAGAAACCTGAAAAAATATCAAAAATAGATCGATTGAGCTCCCTCGGGTGGGCTTGAACCACCAACCTCTCGATGAATCTGTTGTATAACAGTCGAACCTGGGTGATTGTTAGAATGATGATTGATCACAAGGTGTAGTTGAGTACTTACGCGCTAGCCAATTGCGCCACGAGGGATGTGTCTGCTGATATGATTGGTTCGTCTTATTTGTTTATGTGTATGGAATTGACATTTTGTGAAATGTTGGTTGTGCGATGTGATGTGGGGTGGATGTGAGATGTGGAGACTAGGAAGAGGGCCCAGGGAATGATGATTGGCTACATGGATATAAGGAACGAGTGCCGACAAACCTGTTAATGAGCAGGCTTGCAGAGATTGAGCTTGTGGGGGTGGTTATCTGCCGTTATGTCAGTGAAGTGAAGGTTCCCGAAAGCAAGGAGAAATGGATTGCGTTTTGCAGACGGTCACGTGAAAATAATTTCTCTCCAAGACTTCAACTATGAAAGCGCCCCTGCTACATCTCTAACTTGCGAGAACGATAATAGATGTGCTAAGCTAACATGAAATTTCTGACCACTGATATGTTTATTGAAACCAAAATGGACGTGAAAATTATTGTACAGATAGCAATGATCTAGCGTTCTTAGGCCTCGGTTCGACTTGGGTCTACATCTCTCCCCTCCTCAAAAGCCTGTCAAATCTCCGTCATCACGCTGTCCATGCGATCTTCTTCCTGTTCAGACCACTCATTATGGTTTGTGTCCGGCTCTGGCAGCCCTGACTCAGGGGCAAAAGTGATAGATGCGAACAACTCACAAGTCATCATCTCAGCAAACTCCAGTAGTCGGACTGAGATCTGGTCAGCAGATGAGGGAACCTGATCTACTGGGTCTATGAATTGCCATGCCCATTGTCCGATCTGTATGTATTGAAGGGAGTGGCATCGACGTTTGAAGAGCCTGGCAAAGCTTTCTGCGATATTTCGTGGTCGGTTGACGCCGGGTCACCAGGATGATTCTTTCGAAAAGTATCCTCCCCCGATAACTCTCTTACTGTTTAGACGAAGCTTTGTAAATTGCTTGAGTCATTGTAAGGGGGTAGCACAATGGTCGTAAAAGATTAGCAGGTGATTTAGACATTGCGATGCGACTGTGGTGACTAACCCAAGAATTGTTGAGGTCGAGGCAGATGCCAAGACGCTTCAAGCTGGCACCGCCATCATGAAGTCTGTCGATGACAATGATAGTCCGAGAACCATGAAGTGGCTAAGCAGTCAATATATCAGGCTCTAACTCTGATGCTATACCATTATTTGATTATTCTTCTCCTACATCTGTGTTTGCCACTAAGTCTAAACCTGCAATCGTGCCAGAGGCTGATTCTGACTTCGATCGCGTCTCTGATTCCACGTCTGGTTCCATTTCTGAATCCGATTCCGAATCCCACACAAAACCAAGACCAGAGCCCGAATTGGTCACCGACCACATGCTGGATTTTCTCTCGGCAGTGATCTCGCGAGTGAAGACATATTTCAGGTTTGGGGGAAGCCTCAACAAAACAAACTGCTTCAAACTGAATTCGCAGAATGCATATTGATCAGTCACAATCAGATCTTTCACCGAATGAAGGACAGTGTTGAGCCAAGTCATTTGATCAACACTAAGTCGTGAAACTGGCAGTTGCTGAAGTAGGACATACGTATCGAAGAGATTCCAGTCAACCTGAAAGTATGCATCCTCGTCATCAGCTCCTCGGACTAGCCCGATCAACAAATGGAGAGTCTAAAGTCCACTAATATCGTCTAATTTCGCGAGGGAATCTCCAGTTTCGGGCTTGTCTGTGCTCGGAATGACACATGGCCGGGCCTTCAAGTCTCAAGCTTCAAGGGCGACTTCTCCAAAGCATGATGCTGAGTGCAGAGATCAAGCAGGAGATCGCCTTCAACTCGAAGGAGTCATATTTCTGGAGTACCTTCGCAACCGGCTCGCCAACCCAGTCCAAGCCCAAGCTTTCTCAGATGTGGAGAGGAGCTGAGAGCTGCAGCGATGCCTCTAATGTCATCAGCCTCTTTCCGGCCGATGTTGTGAAGTTCCAGTGATGTAAGGTTATGAAATCTGTCGACTGGGATGGAGAAATTGAGCGATTGTTCTTCCATTGGTAGTCGAAGAATACGTAGAGATGTGCGAGAGACTTGCATGACTGCAGGGCCGTGATGAGATTATTATCTCTCAGCATCGTAGACGGGATGCGATCGTCATGCGGAGAGTCGTGTCAGCTGCATGATCGGACTTATAAGAGGCCCTCGTACCTGGAACTTCCCAGATTCGGCATTTTTCTCAATATTCTCACCACAAACTCAAAGTAATCACCGTTCATCGCAATATCGTAGCTGAAGCCATTAAACAAAAATTCTTCGACGCAAACTTCGAAGTCCTTAGTCCAGAGCGATTTGAGGTTCGGCAGACGAACGTGATCGAATGCTTGAATGGTGGGATCATCTATGCGGTACGAACCGGATACCGAAAGCTCTTTAGCTGACCTGCCCGCGCCGCCCAGTTAACTTATGACTTCGGCATCGATTATTGTCACACCCAGAAACCGGAGGCGGCAATATTCAAACAACTCCCATACTGGTTTCACGATCTATTTCTTCTCGGGTTCCAGTACATCCTGAGCCTGAAGTGCATATCCGTTGGATATGTCCAAATTCTTTAGAGTTCCGAGATCGAAGACTTTTGTCAGATAATTTCCCAAAGAGGACGTAGATGCTGTTAGGCACATTGAGTATCCGAGTCGTAGAGTCTGAATCTTAAAGGGCTGTGTTCTGGGTTGAGTACCATATGTTAAACACAATGACCTGAGCAGGTCCATTTCATCTAGGATGAGTATTTCGTCACCGCCTTGGTCGACGTCTTCGCCATAGACAGTCTTGGCACCCCTCCCGAGCCCCAGCTTCTTGAGATGGGGACAGTCTGCCAAAGCACTGGCGATGTTCGAACAATGACTTTGCAATCCCCATGAGAGTTATGCAGCTCGAGAGATGTAATGTTCTTGAAACGCTTAAACCTTGTCGAGTAGTTTTCGAGCCCGTCCTCTGTGTCTTCGCAGTTTGCAGTACAGAACTGAATAGTGAGGTTCTGAAGGCTTTTCATGTTCTTGAGAAAAACTAAGAGTTCGGGGCTGCGAAGCGTCAGGATACAATCATACAGTTCTAGGCTTTCATCTGCCCAGCTAAGGCAGTGTTCTAGTATGACGATAACCTTATATCCTTCAGAGATATCTACCGAATTGTCCAAAGGTTCGACATTCTGCCTAGCATGCTTACAAGCAACTCAGCGACCCTGTCAATCCCTTCTGCAAAGGTCGTGTCGCTCTTATTTGAGTCTGCCTGAAAGTTGAAGGTCTGAAGATGACATAATGTCTCCGGCAATTCCAGGTTTTCCAGCTGTGATACTGCCTTCAATTCGAGAGTGTATGAAGGCAAATTTGGTGAAGATATCTCGAAATGTATGGCATGTAAGACAGAGTGCTCTGAGTGCAAGATCGCTCTGAAGCTAGATACGATACTTCAGTAAGGGTTCAACTTGGGCGGCACAATTAAGAGGCATCGTCCGTACAGTCCTGGACTATACTGGTGAGGCGTTGGCCCCGCGAGCCTCCAGGAAGATCAAATGCGCCAAGCATCATGCCAGATGATATTGGCACAGTTCCTCCTCTCTCTGAGCTTAATCTCCGTTCCGCATGGTACTCCTGTGATGGATATGGCTCTTGTTGCTCTGCGATACTCGAAGGGTGAACGTACCTCTTCACTGACCATTGTCCAAAGTTCTGGTGGTAGACCGGAGACATGGGTGCTTGGGTCGTAAACGGCCCCTTAGGTACTTGTGAAGGTGCTTGTCGAAGACGTTCTTGGTTTTACTATCAGACTATGAGCGTGATTTGCATGGTTTCGAGATGGTGACGTTCGAGGAGACCAGCATTCACAACAGCGACGATCAATATTGACATCGGTCGCGCTTCTCAGCCCAAGCGAAAGGCACTCGCACTAACTCCTAACAGTCTAGCGTTGAAAGAAAAGTGAAGTCCATCTGGATCTCGCACACTAATGTCTGCCTGGAACTTCTTTCCTTGTGAACACTTATTTTGCCTGAGAAAGATTCTCAAGCATGATATGTGACGGAGTATACTTCCAGGTTTCCATTGTTAGCAAACAATGCAGAGAATGAGTGACCCGCAGCGCAAGCGAGCTGGGCGACCAAAACGTTTCTGCGCAATCTAGCGGTTACATCCCTCAACAAGAAAATGAACCTTTTCCTTTTCTGATCTCTCTCTCAAAAGATACTTTCTTGATGCGTGCGAAAATTTTCCTGCTTTATTCTAGAAGTCTCAGACATTTCAATTCTACCAGAGCACGACTTTACCCCGCTTCAAAACCCCACCAGAAAATGCCATCCTCAACCTTCCGAGAGCCTCCTCAGCTCCCAGTGGCCTTCACCCAAACCCCCTCTAGCCTTCTAGATGATACAAAGAAGGCCATCGCAACTTCACGAGCTACACTTGATGACCTTGTGAAGATCCCACCTTCAGAAGCCACGTTTGCAAATTTCGTGCTTCCATGGATTCACGATCGCAACACCCGCATGAAGACCAGCTCTCTGACGACCCTTTTCAAATCCGTTTCTCCATCCGAAGAGCTAAGAGATGCAGCAGTCGAATGCGTCAAGGTGTGGGCTGAGTTCAGCCAGGAGGTTGTGGCAAGGCCAGAGATTTACGTGCTGTTTCAGGCGGTGAAGGATAAGGGCGAGGCGCTGGACCGGGAGGACCAGTACTATCTGGACAGAAAATTATCCCAGTTGGTTAGAAGCGGTGCTGCACTTCCGGAAGGACCTGTCAAAGAGAGATTTCAAATTGTCACAAAGAGAATTGATGACATTGAAGCAGAAGGTGGCAAACGGATTCGCCAAGAGAATGGAGGGATCTGGTTCACAGCTGATGAACTGGATGGATTTCCTCGCGACGCCCTTGAAGGCCTCAAGAGGGGCGAGGGCGAAGACGACGGGAAATATAAGGTTACATTTGGGACTGTTGATCTCGATCTGGCTTTTAAGAATTGCGTGAAGGCAGAGACAAGAAAGCGCATGTTCTTCGGCAACGAGAACAAATGTCTCGAAAACGT